TTTTTTTTTTTTAGTAAAAAATTCGTACAACATACAAACTTTAATCAATTACCATTATCAGGATGCAAAGTGATATTTGCTAGATCAAACTCCATTTTTTTCACGAGAAACAATCACAAGGACTGATTACAGAATAACAGGATTGTTCACACAAAATCTCAAATCAATTTATGCAAGAACTACTAACCACCACAAATTAGATATTAACAAAGTTCATCATCATCTTCTTCATTCTCATCATTATGGTCAATAATTTTATCATCCTCGTCAATATCTCCATTCGTGCTTGACTGCAGACTCCGGAACTTGGTAATAGCTTCTTGTGCATCAAAAAACAAAGCATCTTTCGCGGATTTAACCAAATTCACTTGTGAATGACTCAAAAGTTTGTCTTTTTTTCCCTGTACACATTTCAAATTCCTTAACGATTCCATCTTTCTCCTGGCATCCCTGCAATGCAACTGGTCTATGTATTTGTCATGCAAAGCCTTGTTTTTAATCTGCTTCAACACCGGGGGACTAACAAAAGCCGCACTTTGCGAGCAGCTTAATCTCGAGTGTTGCTTCTTATGGGGGGCTGATGAGGACATCTCAAGGCATCTACTGAGAACGGAAGATGCTCGATTTGGTACTGGTGAGACAAATGGTGTACTTATTTGAAAATCAAGAGAAGATAACTCAATACCCGGCTCAAGAACAGAAAACAAATCTGCTTTGTAGTCGTGATTTTCATTGCATTGCTTTTCCAGAATTTGTCGTACGGTCTTCTGGGCCACAAGTGTTCTCCTATGAGACTTAATCTTTTTGGTTCTGATCCCGGCAGGACTAAGCAGCTTACTAGCAGAATAGGGGACGGGTGATTGTTCCTTTTTGTTTGTTCTGGAACGTGTTCGAGGTTGAGGTGGGGTTAAGTGGTTGTAATGAATTCTATTAAAACATTCCTCAGCCGATTTTCCATGAACCTGTAAAGATACGCATCAAAGAAAGAAACATTTAGAAATGTGTAAATTCATCTCATTCTTATGAATTTTAATCGAGAAACCAAAGGAAAAAAATAACATCTGCTTATTTTGGTTCCGAATGTTCAGATGGATAGTTTGTGTAGCATGACTATGAAATTTTAAAAAGAAGAATGAAAAAAATGAAAGAGACGAGAGAGTACTAAGACACCACTCAGAACTGATTATTTCATGTCATGGGCTGCTATTTCAGTCTTAGTTTGCAGGTTACAAACATTCCAGCTTGAAACTGTTGGAAAAATGAGGTAAATATGAGTATTAATTATGTGACTCAAATTATGATGAGCCTTAGGCCCCTAATCTTGTAATCCTAAACAGAAGCATTGTTAAGCCTTAATTCTTAAACCTCCCTCAGCATTCATTTACTCAAATTAAAGAGTGCATCAAACATACAGATTTTTTCGGGGCTATATATACTTGTGCAGGATTGGTTCAAAAGGGAGAAGAAAGAGATAATCACCCTACATATAATTGTGATTTAGTCCAGGCTTGTTTCTAGTTTGCTAGAATTGATCCGGTTTTTTTGTTGTATCCTGAGAATCAAAAACTGTTATACGGAAACTATGTTTCACTGGCCTTGGATTTTTATTGTTTCAGCCAATCTTATTTTTATTTTCCCAATAAATATTGACCTACAGCTATAATCCGGAGAACAATCTAGACATTATAACTAGACCATCACATAAACAAATCGAGCATCTGACATCTATCGTCATGTATATAACTGAGAGAGTATGAGAAGTATGCACGAGGTTATCCATTTTCTCTACCAAGCAGGAGTGTAAAGTTATATTGAAACAAAGGAAGACATTACTTCGACATTGAAATTTATCTTTCAAATTCTTTTCGATAACATCGAATTATTACAATAGCACATTTTGTGATCACTTAACTTTGTAAGCAAACTTTTAAATTTAGTACAAAATGGAACATATGACAATAAACCGAAAGGTAATTAATACACCTGGTTTGCCTGAGTTTAGGTGCATGGATTTCTACCCCCATTTCTAAGTTCCCACTTGCCTGGTATTTATTTTTCTTTCAGCCCTTCAATATGTATCACAATTTCTGTCATCATCTAAGTACTTGATCTTCTCTAATTAACATTATGATCCTCTCATTTTCATTTTTCCTAAATCACTTTTCTCAATTTTCATTACCCAGCATTACATGGAAAAATATTTGTGTCGATATTTTCATTTTATTTATCACATAAGCATCAGTGAACCTTCAAGAGTATTTGTAACTATCAACTAAGCTGAGGTGACCAGAGTTCAGAACAGGAACAGCGACCGAAAATTATTCATATGATTATGCTTTCAACAAATTTATCAGTTCTAATTTCAATATATTGAGGATTGTGTCGGCTTCATTTTCAAGGTTTTGTTTCTTAATACCCAAAAAAAAAATGCTACTTTGCAGTTGTCCTTCAATGCTGTAGCTTTTGAGTACAAATCACAAAAAAAAAAAAATGTTAACCAGGTGTATTGGAAGATGAATGATTTATTATAACAATTTGAATTCCTCTGCCAATCTACTACAGTCCAATCAACAGGACTCAAGTTTAAGGTTACCAAAAACGTAACATAAAAATAACACAACCTTACAGCTTCACTTAGGTAAGGTTGCCAAGACACGTGTGCTTACATATTACTACAATCTAGATTATTTGAATTTATTTTCTATGACGTCCAAACCAGAGGATGATCCAATTACTAGAAAATTATTCAGTCCAATATATAACCTGGATTACTTTTCATCTCAAGAGTTGTCTACTAAAAAGTCAAATATTTTTCGAGAATGTTCATTGCTGAACATCTCTAGGGCTAAACTGCAGAAGGAACTTACGGAAAATTGTCATGCCTCTAGCCCGTCTGAGCTATACTGAGTGTTTCGAAAATGTGGAATTCCAGGCACAGTTATAATTACAATGCAAATTAGCATCCATAAATATGATACAGTTAATGCCAAATTATCTCCATCAACATTACATTTTCCAAAATTACAAAAAAAACACAATTTGTTTCTTGGAAAAATAAATCACAACCTCTACATTTTTTGCAAAAATAAGGCGTGGTAACCGGAGAAAAATGTGGAGACCAGATTTTTCTACAAAAAACTACAAATAGGCCCAAATATAGTCAAATTCTCATTTACTTACCAAAATATCCTTAAAACTAAAATAAAAATAAAAAATAAATGGCTCAAGACACGAGTGAACGCACATGATAAAGAACATAGACAAAAAGAGACACAGAACCCACACGCACGCAGACAGAACATGGATGATGGATCAGACCTGGAAAAGGAAAGGAAAAAGGAAGACACATCGCAAATAAGCACCGGCGCAACATACACACGAGACACTCGCCGATTAGCCCAAACATAACAGAGACACACAGAAAATCACTATCACAAACAAATACAGAAACACGAACACACAAAAGGATCTATCTACACATGCACACACACAAAATTACACACATGCAGAAGATCTAAGAAAAGGAAAAACACTAATCTGACAGAAAAAAAAAAAAAAAAAAAAAAAAAAAAAAAAAAAAACCATAATCTTTGAAAAACTATTGGAAATTGAACCTAGTTCATCATTTTCAATTGTTGTGGGTTTGCATAGGATACCATATGCGTGTGTTCTAGGATTTCAACTTTCAAGCATTGCCAAAAGGCATAACACTTCAACAAGTTTTTGCATTTATTAGATTTGTTGAATCGTGAATACATGGATTTGTGTGTGTTCAAGCTGTGGCTTTGAGATTGTCATTTAACGATAGGCCTGCATAACTGAGTGGGTGGGGGTGTGAAAATACGTGTGCTTGTGTTTTTCGGATTTGAGAAGATGTCATTTCCTTTGATTTATTTTATAACACGTTTTGTAGTTTGATTTGGCATCGTAAATGAGAACTCGGAACCTATTAGTAATTTTATTAAATAATTCTGGCCTCCACATCATTATCCAGTCAGCGCATAAGAAACCAAATATTAGGATTTATTTTATCAAGAAAGAAAAGGTCTTTTCGCTTTTGCAATTTTCGAGAAGGTCATGTCTATATCGATAACTAAACCTATATAGAAATTGTTTCATATTTAATCTCAAATCAGTACAAGAACAAGACAACCATCAAATTTCCTATCCAGTAAACTAAAGCTGAGATTTTGCACACAGTTGAGCTTCTAAGCACCTCAAACTTTTCCCTAGTTGCTTAGTCCTTGCCCACTGCAGTCAGGCTAGCATTTTAAAGGTGCCAACAAATTTGGAAGGCCCAAAATGCCAAAAACTACACAGTTTTCAGCACAGCATCGAAAAGGCCTAACATTGTGATAATTATATAATGAAAAGAAACATAAAGGCTTTTCATTTTTCTAATGGAACACAAGGAAAACACATGATTCACCTCTGATCATTTTGTGCTGGACTAGATTAGTGTTTCCGCATAGGTCCTACAACAATTTGGTATCCTCATATTTTCACCATTCAGTAATAATTCAAATAGCAATTTCCATGTTTTACGGAAGGTTGTCCGATTGAGACAATTATGCTTAACAAATTAAACCAGCAAGAGATAGTCATTAGAAATCTAACTCACACAATGTTAGCTGCTTGTATCTATTCATTTATTCATGTCCAGTGGTAGTGCAGAATAGACTATTGGGACTTCATATGCAGTACTGTGTCCACATTACACAAATGTCCCATGCTACGGTAGAGCCAAAGCCAGAGAGGATTTGGCTGCATTACATAGCCCAATCTTTAATTTTTTTTCCTTCTTTATTCATGCAAGCAGCAAAAGAGAAGGAACAAAAAAATTGGAAAAAACGAGAATATTACCATCTTAGAAACCTTCTTCCAGAACTGAGGCGTGGGCTTCGCAGCAAAATAAGCCCTTCTCAGAGCCAATTCTTGTTCTTGACTCCATGCTCTATTAAACTCACAATCTCCCTCCGTTTGATCTCTCTTTCTCTTCACACCAACTTGCATCTTTCTTTTGCATTTTCTCTCACCGGCTTCCCTATTCTCCTCACCGTCCCCTTTGGTTTTTCTTTCATTTGAAACAACCACTTTACACGCCATATGTGTCGACATGCCATTAGGCCTCTCAACCAATAGAGCCCCCCGAGTAACCCGCTTCTCAATGTTGTGCGTGCTTTTCTGAGGAAAATCAACCCCAGCTTTAGCCTTCACTAATGTTGACGAAGCCCTTACCCTCTTGCTGACATCCTTATCCGAATAAACATAATCATTTACAGACTTATTCCCAAGTGAACTTCTTGTCACCCGTTTCTCTACCACATGCTGCTTCTCTGAATCCAGAATTTCTTCACTTTTACCCACTTTTGACATATCCTCCAATCTCGAAGACCTAATGCACCGTTCGCTGGATTTGCCCCAACAGTTTGACTCGGCATTGTCATTCTCCGGGATTTCACCATAGTGGTTCAAACCACAATGTAGAGATTGCGCTCCACGAGTCGAACTCCTCGTCACCCTTTTCTCAACCAAGCCGCTAAAATTGGCCGCGCAATTCAATCTTGAGGAGCTTCCAGAATCTTTGCGAGGTTTCTTCGAGCTTTTGGACACACTATTGCCATTTTTCTGAATTTCGGAGTGACAAGGTGTAGAAAACGAATCGATTTGAGATTTCCTTAATGTGGGCCTTGGGGTCTCGGAATACTCTACGCAAGCTTGATTTCTGTGAATGAATCTGGGGGATCTTCTCAGTGCAGTGGTGGTTTTTTGTTCTTCGTTGCTTGTGCGTCTTCTGTTAGGCATTTCGGCAAGCAGGTTGTCTGCTGGGTAAGTAAAAAGATGAAAAAAAAGGAAATATGGTGCGACCCTATTCAAATATTAATGTCTGGAGCGAGTTCCCCGGTAATTGGTGATTGGTGAAGACCCGTTTGTTTAATGGTTAATGGCTCCTTAGATAATTCATGCTTTTGGATCGGTAAGGAGTTGAAACGGATCAAAATCAATTCTGATTTGATCAATTTTTTTTATTCATTTTAATCCAGAAGAAGTTAAAACAGATCAAAATAAGTTTTTATTGGAACAATTTTATTTATTCAATTTAATTCAGCTTTAATATACTCAATAATAATAGATATAATATCAAATTATCAATCATTTTTCTCTTACATCACATTAACTTTAATTCGCTATTTATCCATTCGTATATTTTTAACTACATATCACTTTCATCATTTCTCTCCTACTTTTAGATCACCTCAATTTTAAATTATTATGTTTTAAATATTATTTAATTACAATCTCTCTCATCTCACTCACTCAACTTTATTAAAAATAATTCACTTTAATTCAGTATTTTAACCAGTTTTGACTGCTTACTAATCTCTCCCCTCAATGGGGCTTCTCTCGTTCTGAGGGTGTTCTTCTCTCGTTCTGAGAGCTTCATCTCCGTGGGGAGTGTTCTCTTTCGACGTTCGAAGGTCAGGCAGATCGTGGTAGATTTATTGGGGGAATCATCTTTCTCTGTTCTTTTCAAGCCCTATTAGCCGTGATGGCAGATGAATTAGGGCAAAGATTAGGGCAAGTCTCCATTGCAGAAGCTGAAAAACTTATCATTGACATTGAGGATAATGATGTCCGATTCAGTGCGGAAGAATGCAGTCGCAGCCTCTTTGGAAAAGTGGTGGGGGAGAAGAAAGCAAGCTGGTTGGGGGTTAAGCGCACGATGGGACTGCTATGGCGTATGGGTACCTCATTAGAAGTTCGTGAACTCAATACGAACTATTTCCAATTCCTATTTCAAAATAGAGATGCTATGTTGAGAGTGGACCGTGGAAGAAGCTGGGTATTTGAAAACCAATACCTTTTGCTACAACCATGGCAACAAGGATTATCAGAACAGCATCCCAGTTTCGGAGAGATCACACTCTGGGTTCAAGCCCATGGCATTCCTATTAACTGGCTAAGCATCAATGTCGGCACAAAACTGAGCAGAGCATTCAAGGACATCAAAAATGTTAATTTGGCAAGGGCGGGGCTTCAAGGTGGGAGGATTATTACACTTCATGTTACTCTTGATATTAATGAGCCTCTCCCCAGATGGTCCACGATTCGGCTGGGTGAACAAAAAGTGATTGTCCAATTCAAATACGAGAAAATTGTAAGTCTATGCTTTTACTGTGGAAGATTGGGGCATGTTGATAAAAATTGTTCCCAGATGAAGGAGGATATTGCCAAAAAAGAACCAAAAGTGGGTCAATACGGTGATTGGATGAGAGCAGCGGATGGAGTCATTGTCTCAGACTCACCTTCTGCAAGTGCTTACAGTGATCCTTCTACTAATAGGCCTTCAGAACCTTTTGGTTCCTCTTATCTAAGAGAGAAAGTGCAAAGCCCTACAACCAATGATTCCACTGAAGGAGAAAACCTGCTACTATCAAATAGCCCAAATCCACCTAACTCCTCCAAAAATTTAGCCATGGTGGAGTCTTCCACATCAAGAGCAGGGGGTGACAAAGGAACAGGAATGATCATTGATCATAGTCCTCCTATTCCACATTTCCATATCCAACAAGAGAGGGACTGGAGCATAAAGATCATTCCAGATGGAGATGAAACCAACATGAAGGTGCAAGCTGATATAGATGCAATGGCCCTGACCTCGGTGAAGCCAAATCTTAAACTTAAGGGCAAAATGTGGAAGAGATCTAACCAAAAAGTGGGAAGACTAGCCAGACAGGATGTGCAGACTAAGAATCCTGAGAAGCTAGATAGCCTTAAAAAGAGGAAGGGAGAAATTATAAATCTGACAGGAGAAGACAATTCCAATGGAATCCAGGAGGATGGTAACAAGAAAGCAAAGCTGTCAGGTAAAGAGGTGGTGGTAGCCAGCCGTAATTGGCCCCAGAGTGATCAATGCTAGCTCTGGTGTGGAACTGTAGAGGTCTGGGTGGACCCTCTACAGTTCCCCAAATTCGAGAGACTATGAATTCTCACCACCCAAAGTTTTTATTTTTATCTGAAACAAAAAAAAAAAATCTTTTACTGATATGGTGTGTAGTAAACTGGGGCTGGAGGATAAGGTGTGTTGTGTTGACCCTGTGGAGAGTAAGGGAGGGTTATTGTTAGGATGGGATATTGATGTCATTGTTATCCAGCTAGCTTTTGCATCCAAGTCCAGTATAAGTTATATCATGAAGATAAAGCTTGTTGGCTTGTTTTTGTTTATATGAGCACTGAGCTCTCTATTAGAACTTCTCAGTGGCACAGTCTGCTTGAAGACAAACAGACTTGGGGAGAGGATTGGGGCATTTTGGGTGATTGGAATGACTTACATCTTGCTGAGAACAAACAAGGGGGCAAAATCAGATCTCAGAGAAGTCTTGTTCCTTTCCAGAACTTCATATCCAAGATGGGAATGATTGAGCTTCACATGATTGGGTACCAGTTTACTTGGTGCAATAATAGGGATGAGGAGGGTGTGGTTGAAGAAAAACTTGACACAACATTTGGATCTCTAGGATGGCTGACTAGATATCCTAGCACTAAAGTTCTTAATCTTTTCAGAAGTGCTTCGGATCAAAGCATGATCATTCTACAGTCAGTGCTCCATGAGACTAAGCACAAGAGAAGGTTCAGATTTGATAAAAGATGGCTTTCTTGTCTTGGAGTGTGGGAAGTGGTCTTTCAGGCTTGGGGGAAATTTCAGCAGGGCACACCCTTTTATCAATTAAAAGAGAAAATCAAAGTTACCAGGCTGGCTTTATCTGAGTGGAGCAAGCTTCAAGGATCTGATAACAGAAAGAAAATCTCAGCTCTTACTTTGAAACTTGAAGATATGAGGAAACTGGGAAATGGGAAGAATTGGGAAGAATGGGAAAGTCTCAAAAAAGAGTTGGAAGATGCCCATTGCTCTGAAGAATTATTTTGGCAACAGAAATCCAGAAACATGTGGTTGAAGGAGGGAGATCAGAACACAAGATTTGTCCATGTTGTCACAGTTCAAAGGAGAAAAAGAAATGCAATAACCAGATTACTTGATGACAGGAACAGAAGCCTTGAATCTAAAGAGGAGCTGCAAGACTACATCTCAACCTTCTACCAAAATCTCTTTACATCAGAAGGGTCTTGGGGGAAGAGAGAATCCTTCAGCTCATTCCTCAATTTATTACTCCAGAACTGAATGAGGATCTTATAGCTACTGTGGAGGAAGAAGAGATTAAACACTGCCTCTTTTCTATGAATCCATTGAAAGCCCCTGGGGAGGAGGGTATGACCACACTCTTTTATCAACATTTTTGGCCAGTCATCAAACATGATCTCTGTCATGATGTTCAAAGCTTCTTTCAATCAGGCAGATTTCTCAGATATTGGAATCATACCCTGGTAACACTGATACCCAAATGTGACAATCCCTCTTCTTTAAATCAGTATAGACCCATAAGTCTATGTGCAGTGGTGTACAAAGTCATCTCTAAGATTCTTGCTGATAGATTGAAGAAATGTCTTCATGTTTGTATTAGCAAAGCTCAAGGGGCATTCATTCCAGGCAGACAATTACTTGACAATGTCACCATTGCACAAGAAAGCTACCATTACCTGAACAGACACAGAAATGGTAAGCACAGCTTCATGGCATTCAAACTCGATATGATGAAAGCTTATGACAGAGTCGAGTGGAGAGGTCTTTATGTTCTTATGGAAAAAATGGGCTTTGCAACTACTTTTATTCAGTGGGTGATGTTCTGTGTATCTATTGCTACTTTCTCTTTTATGCTTAATGGTGAAGCAGTAGGATTTGTGCACCCTTCTAGAGGGTTAAGACAAGGAGATCCAATCTCTCCTTATCTCTTCCTCATTGTATCTGAAGCTCTTTCTTCTCTTATTGAGGCTGTTGCATCTCATGGCTTATTCAGGGGACTAAGGCTGGCTAGAGGTGGCCCTATGTTAACACATTTGCTTTTTGCAAGTGATCTTTTGGTTTTCTGTAAAGCAGATGCAGAACAGGCCGCTCTTCTCATGGATATTCTCCAGGCTTATTAGCTTTTTGCAGGCCAGAAAGTAAACTTCTCTAAGTCTACAGTCTTTTTTAGCAAGAACACTCTGCCCACTGATAGAACTATTATTTGTGTTGTGTTGGTTGGTTTGACTGCTCATAATTCTTCAAGATATCTTGGTCTCCCATTTGGCATTGGCAAATCGAAAAAAGAGACCTTTGCCTTCATCACAGAGTCTGTCAGAAAAAGGTTGGATAGTTGGAAGAATAAGTATCTCTCTACTGCAGGTAAAGAGGTATTGATTAAAGCTGTTATAAATTCTTTACCTGTTTTTGCTATGTCTTGCTTCAAGCTTACTGATGGGATCTGCAAAGACTTGGCAAGCATGACTGCAAAGTTTTGGTGGAGCAAGAGGAGAGATCAGGAAAGAGGTATACATTGGAAATGCTGGAATTTGTTATCATTACCTAAAGATGAGGGGGGGCTGGGCTTTCAAGATAAAGCTCTTCAATGAAGCTCTGTTGTTGAAACAATTGTGGAGGATTACAAACACCCTGAGCTTCTTGCCTCTCAAGTTTTGAAAAGCAGGTATTACCCTCACACTTCTGTATTTCAAGCTGAGAAAAAAGAGTCTGCATCTTGGTTGTGGGCAAATTGGTTGAAGGTTCTGCCTCTTTTTAAATCCTTCTGTTGGAAGGAAATCAATTCAGGAAAAAACACCAAAATTCTTGATGGGGGATGGATTCCTAACTTTGCTGGCTCTGCACCATTAAGCCTACCTGGGTTTGTGAGCTATTTGAGGAGTCTGGT